GTTCAATAATTTTATCTGTTAAAAAAAATATGTATCTTTATACCTAAATAATATGCCATATTACATTGAAAGATTGAGACTTAAAACGATAAGTAAGTAAATTATCATTTGGCTGACCTTTACCATATTAGTGTATACTTCATTTCCAGGCACACTGCTTTAAGCTACTATTTTTATTGTTACTATTGTTATACTATTGTTTTGAGCATTCTTAAATTTCAACTCCAGGCTCCTCCAATCCCCCCAGAGGCCTTTCTATTGTGTATGTTTTTACTTTTTCCATATGCTTACCTTATCCAGTTTTCTTCTAGACGGTTATGTGACATGTAGGGTTAATTTCCTCTTGGTCTCTTCTCTAGCTCTGGTCAGTCCTCAGTGATACAGAAACCAGTGCTGATTTGATGACATCAGTGATTCTTTCTGAAAAACTGTACTGTGTGTAGGGTGCCATAGTGATGTCCTCAACACTCATGGTTATTCAACTTGGAAGGCTGAGGACATGTAATAGTTGAGAGAAAATATTATGTTTTTAAATGTGTCCAAATATGGATTTTAAAGATATTGTTTAATCCCTTTTTTTATTCTACTTATTTGCATTACTAGATAAGATATATATATATATATATATATATATATATATATCCCCAGTAGAATCCCGGTAAGAAATGTCTATCTTGCAACAATCCTCTAAATTGTTAGCATTAAATTCCTTTTTCATCTACATCTTTTATGAAAGGTTTTTGAAGTTGCCATGAGAAATTCATTCCTTTTCATCAGTTTGTTCAGGAAATGATTGTGCTGGATATTGTACCAAGAAGCACTTGTGCATCCTTGAAAAAATCTGAGTGGTAAAAAATTTTCCAACAGCAACACAAATTAAAGACTTAAAAAGTCTTCGACAGAACAGCTGCCTAATGAAGGTATGTCTCTTGAGATAACATTTTCTTTTTACGCTAAAATAGTTTTGGAGTAGGCATTTGATTAAAGCATACGTTTTATTGGAGCTTCATTAACCTGGACTTTTGTGCTTTTGTTCTTTTCTAGTGGCTGCATTTGAAATCATTTTATAATAGGTGCTACATACATTTCTTGTATTATACTGTATTTTGAACATTACGATAGAAACAATGTAAAGTTTAAAAGAACAGGTGGACAAAATTAATGCTTCTTCCACTTCAGTGTAAGTATTCTTCAGGCTGCAAAGCTCCTACTTGCTCCAAACAACTCAAAGCTCAATTATGTACAATGAAATCATGCTAAGGAGTCCTACCACTCCCCCATGGCAATCTAAGTTGGCTCTGCAAGTTCAGCTGAATATACTTGAATTTGTCTTGCTGATTGCACTTACATCTCACAAAATAATACCTGTGTGAATACTGGAGTCACCATTTAGTACAAAAAGATCATTTACAGGTAAAATAATTTTAAGAAGGATTAGGTAAAATTCCTGGAAGACATAAGAGGCACAAATGACTGATGCTCTAATCATTAACCACTTGAGCTCCAGAGGATTTACACCCCTTAATGACCAGGCCTCTTTTTGCTACTCGGCGCTGCATTAATTCAACTGATAATTGCGCGGTCATGCAATGCTGCACCCAAACGAAATTTACGTCCTTTTTTTCACACAAATAGAGCTTTCTTTCGGTGTAATTTGATCACCTGTGCGCTTTTTATTTTTCATGCTATAAACAAAAAAAGGCCAAAAATTTTGAAGAAAAACAATATTTTTTATTTTCAGCTATAAAAAATATATAGTAAACTCAAAGTTGGTTATAAATTTAGGCCAAAATGTATTTTGCTACATGTTTTTGGTAAAAAAAATCCCAATAAGTGTATATTGATTGCTTTGTGTGGAAGTTATAGCGTCTACAAACTATGGTATAAATACTGCAATTTACGCCATTTTTCTGCTATACAGCACTGCGCTAGTTTAACAGACAATTGCGCGGTCATGCAATATGGTACATAAATGAAATTTACATAGTTTTTTTCCCCACAAATTGAGCTTTCTTTTGGTGGTATTTGATTGCCTATGCGGTGTTTATTTTTTGCGTTATAAAAAAAAAGGCTGACAATTTTCAGGAAAAAAAAAACAATATTTTGGACTTTTTGCTATAAAACATGTCCAGTAAAAAAAAAATTTAAAAATGAAATTTAGTCATGAATTTGTGCCAAAATGCATTTTGCGACATGTCTTTGCTACAAAAAAAACCCAATACGTGTAAATTAATTGGTTTACGTGAAAGTTATAGCATTTACAAATGGCGGGAAAGATACTGGGATTTTTAGGGTTTTTTTTATACTAATAATGGCAGCGATCAGCGAATTATGGTGGTGATCAGGGACTTATGGCAGCGACCAGCGACTTATGGCAGGACTGCGGCGGACATTCTGACATTGGGGGGTACTGACTTTGGGTCACTGACATCCCCAAAAACACTAATACAGTGATCAGTGCAAAAAAAAAAAAAACTGACACTGTACTAATGGCAATGGGGAGGAAGGGGTTAACTTTATTTTGCAGGGAAGGGTTATAGGAGTGAGGGGAGTGTTTTTACTAGGGGGCGGGGGAGTGTACTGGGCGGACAAGGCTGATCGAGAAAGAGAAACTGTTCTTTCTCAATCAGCTCATCCTCGAGGTGATAGGGAAGTGACAGACAGCACAGCTACTGCAGCTGTGCTCTCTGTCACTGTTTGCCGCCGATCGCCGGACATAGCCGCTAAGGAGCGGCTGTGACCCGACGACTGACATCTGCGGCGGTGATCCGCGGGACAAATAGGGCGGCGGCGCGCCTCACACGCGCCCCCCCTATTTGTTTACAAAACACACGTTTTAAAACGTGGTTTTGCCTGTGAGTGCCGCCCTGCCACCGTATATGTACAGTGGCTGGGCGGCATGCGGTTAATTCTAGTCACTCTTAAATGTGCTTTGTTCAATTACCTAAATTGTATTTGGTACCAGAATCTTGCAGTGCTTGTACAGCAGAGCTTAGACTAGGTGGAGGGAGAAGAATCACAAGGAGATAATTAATTGTACTGCAGTGTAAGGAGCATGCTGATTGAAGCAGACAGCAGAGTGACAGAGATATGGGCTCATCAGTCATCTGCTTCCTCTTATACTGTTCATAGGCTGGTGGGGGGGAGTGTAGTCAAGTGTACCTCTTGCAGGTAAAACAGATATCACATGTGTATTTTACCTATCATGTACCTGATAGGAAATTGAAGTGACAAGGTTGGCCTCTTTTGTATCTTCAGCCCAGGCACCACTGGGAGTGAAACAGATAGTGCCAAGGGACAGGAGGAACATGAGTGTCAGTAGATGTTGATAGCAGAACCTTGACCTGGGAGATATGTCAGAACATCAGGGCAGGAAAAGCAGCACCACAGAATGAACCAGCCATCATTAAAGAATGTCAAATGTACTGCAGGTTCAGGAGGTGCGGTTTGTCAGAGCTCCCCATGTAGTTTGTAGCAGCAAAACTAAGATGTGGTTGAAGCAGATCCTGGAGACAGCCAGGGCAGACACTCAGGAATAGCTTAGAGCCAGATCATAGACAGAAGCATGGTCACAGGGGTAGCTGAGGTCAACAGCAGGCTGGCAATGAAGTACAGAAGCACAAGCAGCATCAGAGTCCTGAACAGAGGACAGGAACAGTTGTGCAGAAGTACAAGCAGAATCCAGGATCAGGTCAGAGACAAGCAACGTCAGTAACAAAATTTATACACAGCTCACAATCAGGGCACAGGATACAGCTGAACAGTCAGCCCTGATACTGCATTAAGGCATTCTTTGAAAAGAACATTGACTATATATATATATATATATATATATATATATATATATATATATCAATAGTTTAGTTTGCATGCATGTTAAACAAAGCAAAATGCTACATATTTAAAAGAAAAACTGAATAACTTGATTCTTTCAATGGATCAGAGGGATAAGAGATAAAGAGAAAGTGAGAGGACTGGGAAAAGACTGAGAAAGAGGCATGACAGTTTTACACATGGCACAGTTAAAGCTGAAGTTTAGCTAAAAAAAAAACTAAATAAAACTCTACAGCTTTAGTCACACCACTTACCTGTAATGAATGATGCCCCACCTTGTGCAGGCAGCTGGATCCTGGAGAAATATTCATTGAAGGGATGCCCTGTCCTTTTCCTGTCTCTCAACTTCTGGAGCTGCAATGGTTAACAGTTTTAAGTCTCCAGGCTCAGCTGATCTAAACTCAGTGAAGGAGGGGGAAGGAAGGGCATGTTCCTATCAGATTCTCTGTACTGCTGTTCTGCCTGAAGACCCGAAGCTGTTACCCATTGCAGTGCCCAAAGTTTTTAGACAGCAAGACAGGCATCCCTGCAGTGAAGACCTCCAAGATACAACTTTGGACATACTTTATTGCAGGTAAGTGATGTGACTAAAGTTGTAGGGATTTCTTTTCTTCGCTTGGAGGCAGATATTTTGGTAGATGAAGAGGGCTTTGCTTCCTCATGTCAGAGTCCATGGTGACTGGTGAATTAACATTCATGGGGCAGTGGAGGAAGCATTATTCCATTATTCTTCTTGGCTTTCAGCTGCCCAGCAAGCAAAACAGTAATGACATCACCAAATCAAACTCAAAATATCGTAGGACTAGCAGTCACAGACAACAGTGTCTTTCATGCAGCAGATATACTATACAGCAAAAAGGATGTAGGCACAGGAGTACCTAGCTAATTTCAAATTCCAGGTAGTGCACAGATATTTGTAGGAGGGTTTCAAGGCAAAAGGTGAATCTTTCAGTGTATTGCTTCAACACAATTAACATTTCAAGATGTTCCTAAAAAACATAGCAAATCTTACCTTTTTGAGCTTAGGTCTACTTTAACCGCTTCCCCTCTGCCCTACAGCAAAAGTACTGCTACGGGGCAGCACGGCTGCGCAAAATTGCGTATATATATGTGATTTGCATTTCCGGGTAGGGGGCGCACGCTCTGCCCTACCCACAGTCCACCATTGTCAATCACCGGGTCTCAGCTGGAGATTCCCTGTCGACACCCGGCAATCACTGAGTAACACTGACAGGGGAGAAGCCTATATGTAAGCAACACAGGTCTCTCTCCTGCCAGCAATGACATGCTGCTGTGTATTTCTCTGCACAGCACAGAAATACACAGCAGCATGTATCCCTAGTGAAACACACACAGCACATTATGTAAAACAGCACCCAGTTAACCCTTTGATCGCCCCAGATGTTAACTCCTTACTGCCCAGTGTCATTAGTACTGTGTCAGTGCTTTTTATTAGCACTGATCACTGTATTAGTGTCATTGGGATGTCAGTGGCAGTTAGTCAGTTTCCCCTCCCCCCCCCCAGTGTCAGCATGCTCTCCGCAGTCCCGCTATAAGTTGCTGATTGCCATTACTAGTATAAAAAAAAATTCCAGTATATATACCGCCATTTGTAGACGCTCTAACTTTTCACGTAAACCAATAATTTACATGTATTCGGATTTCTTTTAGCAAAGACATGTAGCAGAATACATTTTGCCCTCAATTTATGATGAAATTAGATTTTTTTTTACATTTTTTCACTGGACTTGTTTAATAGCAACAAGTCAAAAATATTGTTTTTTTTTTTCTCAAAAATCTTTTTTTTGTTTATATCGCAAAAAATAAAAATGCACAGGCGATCAAATACCACCGAAATAAAGCTCTACACGTAGGAGAAAAAAGAGGTAAATTTAATTTGGGTGCAGCATTGCATGACCGCGCAATTGTCAATTAAAGTAACTCTCAGCCAATCCCTCCACTGGCTTCCACTCGGTCAACGAATAAAATTCAAAATACTAACAACTTACAAAGCCATCCACAACTTTGCCCCCAGCTACATCACCAACCTGGTCTCAAAATATCAACCAAACTGCTCTCTTCAATCCTCCCTTCTGTTCTCTGTTTACCGTGTCACCTCCTCCCATGCTCGCCTCCAGGACTTCTCCCAAGCTTCTCCCATCCTATGGAACTCTCTACCCCAATCTGTCCGGCTGTCTCCTAATCTATCCACCTTTAGACGATCCCTGAAAACCTTTCTTTTTAACCTGCTTCTACAATGTATTATGAGATTTGATTTTTAAAATTTTTTTACTGGATATGTTTTATAACAAAGTGAAAATATTGTTTTTTTTTTCAAAATTGTCGGTCTTTTTTTTGTTTATAGCGCAAAAAATTTAAAAACGCACAGGTGATCAAATACCACTGAAAGAAAGCTCTATTTGTGGTAAAAAAAAAGGACATAAATTTCATTTATGTACAGCGTTGCATGACGCAGTGTCATAACGCAAAAAATGGCCTGGCCAGGAATGGAGGTAAATCCTCTGGAAGGCAAGAACCATTATTATTAAAGCAATTGTATTCATATAACAGAGCCTAATTAACAGGTGCAATATTTGTATTCCATATATAAGCTATGTCCAAGCTCTTGATTGCCCCAACTTTGTTTTCACTGTAACTTTTTCTGGACAGCTCAGTCTGCTTGTGAATAAAAAGAAATATATAAATGAAGGCTGTTGAAATAATAAGATTCTACATTCTGAAAATTATAGTTGACCACACACAGTTCAAAATGGAATATTGTTTCAACATTAATCCTATAACTAAAGCATACTTTAATCATTACAATAGTCTGGGGAAGAATGTCATCCATTATACACTGCACAAGTATTAAACTGCTCAGCACTCACATACACACATTTCATGATCCCCCAGCCACCACATAAGCAAAATTGCTCTTGGATAACTGTATATCATGACTCTCTGTGCTATGTTTCTACAAAAAACACAGTATAATAACCTAATTGAAAAGTATTGTTGGTGGTAAATAAATGATGGTAACATTATGGTCTTTACTAACAACACTAAAATTGGTTTTAGATGACAACAAAGTATTAGACTTTCAGCTAATTAGCCTCATTAATAAACAAACCTTTAATAAAAAATTATATGGCTCCACTGCAACCCAATTTATACCTGCTCTGAAAAGAAAGCATTTGAGAAATTAATGTTTAAATCTTAACTGTTTCTATGCATCACAGGCTGTTCTCATGCGGGCACTATGATAAAGAGCGCCCATGCTGTTATCATAATTAGTACTAGTATTAATATTGTTATAATCATCATATGTAAGTTTCATATCCATATATCTATATGGCAAAGCAAACATTAATAGTGAAAGTGCAGGCTGTTGAAAAAAGGCAAAGCATGAATGGGTTGTTGGTTAAACATAATGGACAATACAATATAATATTCTGCTGGTATTTTCTTTTCCTTCCATGAATTCTTTCTAAAGCTTAAAAGAGGCTGAAAGGGTACTGAGGCATACAATATTTTGACTTTGAAAGTACTTAAGTGTTAGAAGAAAGGACATAAATTATGTAGGGTTTCATGGTATTAGGTTTTCGTGGCATTAACTTTTCAAAATGTCATAGTCTCTGAAATTTAGCACTTACTGTATGCTCAGTACCATGGTTTGTTATAAGTCAGTGGGCAAAGCAATATTCCCTAGACAGTATGCTGCTATAGACACATTCACTGCAATATAGGAAATTCCTGAAAACATCAACTCAACACATAATACACAGTGTGAAAATTTCTTTAGGCAGTTCTTTCAAAGATAAAGATTAATAAAATAAATAAATGGCTGTACAGTAGTTCTTAATAGGTAAAAAACACACAAAAACAAACAGTAACCTTATTTTATTGTCCCAAAGAATTACTCATCCCAAATTCACTGCTGATCTTGACTTTTTCTGAATTAAGCTATGCCACATTTTTGCTAGCATGTATGTATTGTGTAATATATATATATATATATATATATATATATATATATATATATATATATATATAATTTACACGTGCACACATAATGTTTCATCTCAATATTTTAGTGTCTATAATGTGGTGTGCGGTCATAGGTTGCCTTAATTGCTTGCAGGGATGCATAGGCAGATAGGTTTTTCTGATGCTTTATGTATTGGGGTAAAAAACATAATTAAACAAATATGTAATACAATAAGGTTGATAGGGATTAGTATATGGCTGGTAAAAGGGTGGTTAGGTAGGTAGGTAACCCTTACAATGATTGAGAGTTGATACCAGTCCAAGTGGTATAAAAAAGAAGTCCACGTAGAACTGACAGAAGGATGAAGGCAAGACCTAACCAGTGCACCTGAGAACTGGGAGGGGTCAACACACTTGGATACTTAAATGTTGTTTACATTCTAGTAATTGAATGATAACAGAAATAAGGAAGTCTACAACAATGACTCCACATATGTTGCAGGCCATACACTTCAACCAGAAAAGGTCATGTTTATCTGCCAGGCACTTTTTAAATAGTGATATAACATAAACTTGCATACCACAGAATGCCTGAGGAGCACTTCACTTGGAGGAGGCATAATAATACTGGGTCACCCAGCTATCCCCAAAGTCCTTACAACCAACTTCTACCCTCCTTGTCAAGAACTTATCCTATCACTGCTTGTACTCTCTGCCCAACCAGCGAGGCTCTGTCCCTGACCTACTCCCACACTGTGGATTGTGGATGTACCAATAGGAACAGAAGAAGTCAAGATGATTGTCCATAATACATTAGGGGATACATTAGTCTTCAATAGTGTTTGTAAAGCTTATTTTTTTAAATTACAAACATGTCATACTTACCTATGCTGTTCAGGTGTCATGCACAGAGTGGCCCCAAACCTCCCCTTCTGGGGTCCCCTGCTGGTGCTGTCCATTCTTCCTCTTCCCCAGCTGCCCCGATTGCAAACCACTTGCTATGGGGACAGAAGTGTTATTATTATTATTATTATTATTATAATACAGGATTTATATAGCGCCAACAGTTTGCGGAGCGCTTTACAATATAAGGGAGACAGTACAATTACAATACTTTTCAGTACAGAAGGAATGTGAGGGCCCTGCTCGTGGAGCTTACAATTTAAAGGAGGTGATACAAAATCTGATAGCTGTGGAGGATGATCTGGTGGAGGTGATTCAAGTACAGTTCTTAGGTGGAGGTGGGGTAGGCTTCCCTTTAAGAATTGTGTTTTCAAACATCGCCTAAAGGCAGACAGGGTGGGGGCTGACCGGACATGCTGTGGTAGGGAGTTCTAGAGGATGGGGGAAGCTCTGGAGAAGTCCTGGAGGCGAGCGTGGTAGGAGGTGATGAGGGATCTATAGAGGAAGATATCTTGGGAGGAGCGGAGTGGGCGATTTGGGCGGTATCTGTGGATGAGGTTGGCAATGTAGCTAGGCGCAGTGTTGTGGATGGATTTGTAAGCTGTGGTTAGTATTTTGAATTTTATATGTTGGGTTAGTGGAAGCCAGTGAAGGGAATGGCAGAGAGGGGCAGCAGTCATTGATCGGTTGGTAAGGTGTATGAGTCTAGCAGCAGCATTCATAATAGACTGAAAGGGGGATAGCCTGTGTAACGGTAGACCAGTGAGGAGGGAGTTGCAGTAATCGAGGCGGTATATAACCAAGGCATGGATAAGTTGTTTTGTGGTGTCATTGGTCAGGAAAGGGGCGGATTTTGGAAATGTTCCGGAGGTTGAGGCGGCAGGATTTAGCCAGTGAGTGGATGTGGGGCCCAAAGAAGAGGTGAGAGTCTAGGATTACGCCTAGTACCCTGGCATGAGTGGGGGACCTGGGAGGAGGAAATATTACAAGCTCAGTTTTTGAAAGATTGAGTTTAAGGTAGTGATGTGACATCCATGCTGATATGTCGCTTAGTAGATTTGTAATACATAAGGAGATTGAGGGGGTGAGCTGGGGAGTGGAGAGATAGATCTGGGTGTCATCAGCATAGAGGTGGTATTGGAAAGCCATGGGAGGTTATCAGTTGGCCCATGGAGGATGTATAGAGAGAGAAAAGGAGGGACCCAAGAACAGAACCTTGGGGTACCCCAACAGAAAGAGGAAGATGAGTGGAGGAGGAAGAGTTGTATGTGACACTGAAAGTGCGCTGAGAAAGGTAAGAGGAGAACCAGGAGAGAGCATAGTCATGGAGGCCGATGGAGTGGAGTTTACTGAGGAGGA